AATCAATAAGTATAATATACAAAATCAAAAAGGATGTAAACGCTAACATAAGAATTATTAACGGGATTTTGTCAAATATGGCAAAGGCTTTTATTGATCAAAACATCAAATTTAATTTTTTTGAAGAAATAATCACACTTATTATACAAGGAGACACCTTCTCGATTTGTTAATCAAAATAAAAAGATACCTTTTTTTTCAAAACAATTATTCGATTTAGAAATCCTCACATATAAACAGATGTCGAATATTCGAGCACATTTTTTAGAAATTTACTCTTATAAAGAACTTGTGTTAAATTATCATAAATTGTTAGATTTTCGCTTTACTAGGGGAACAATCGTACTTACCCAAGACACTATCATGTATACCCTTAAAATTTCTATCCTAAACCTTATTGAATTAACTTTAATACAAAGACTTGCTATTATCAACAATAACAATCAAACGAAAATTGTTACCACGACTGGAAAATTCATTAGACCTATAATCAGGCTATCTGCGAAAGACTGCAACTTCATTAATAATGGAGTATACCTATGTCAACAGATAACGACGGCCGAAACAGGGTCAGTCGTTGCGTATGTGGATTCATTACTAATGCTTGTTTACAAATTATCCGGAAATTCGACATTAATGTCGAGTTACTATTTGATAAGGATTATACATGGTAGCAACGAAACGATGATCATAAGAACAAACTTGATACGAGAAGGTAGTCTGCAAACTCAAGGATACGAATCCGACCAGGATCTGGAGGAAATAGAGCAAGTCAGTCTTTTATAACTTCTTATAATCAGGGATCATCAACTGAATTTCGAACCACTGAAAACTTGAGTAGTACCAACAATAACTACACCAAAATTCACAACTTTTAATGAATCATTCAGACTAGAATTTCATACATCAATAACCTCAATCGCATTAGTTTCATTACTGATGTCCGTCATGCTTTTTTGCTTACTGTATAAATGTAAGAATAGGAGGGGACGACATACGAGAAAACATACCCTAGATATCAAGGACGAGGACGTCCTTGAACTTCGGCAGGGAGGAATTATATTACTTGGCCTCTAGGCATCTGGGTGTCGAGCGGCTAGCGTCCTTATTTCGCTTATATTTCTTTTGTACTAGTTGTCTTCTCTGTCTAAAATAGTTGCTTCCTCGAATTTAAAATTGTGTCCTGTTTTAAAATGATGTTCAGCTAACGCGGTGGTATTGGTTTTTTGTACATTAGTAGGTTTACAGTCATTCCTAAGTTAGTCTAATCTTTTTTTAATTTCTGTTTTGTTTGTCTTATATAACATTTGTCACATTCACATGGTATTTTGTACACTAAGTTTGATTGTTCTAGTTTATCAACCTTGTCCTTTAGTTTTGTATATATTGAATTTATTTTAGCCAGGTTATAAAATACTAGTTTGACATTAGTATTTTTAAAACATTTATTTATTTTGTACGACAAAGGTTTGATAAAAGGAAACTTGATAATTTTCTTGTTGTTCGGTTCTTTTATACGATCTTTATTTATTTTAAACTTATTGAACACCATGTGAATGAGACTGGTTGGATAATTATTATTTTTTAAGATTAATTCAATTCTTTTCTTATTTTCAGTATATATTTTCTTAACATTTAATTAAATATTTAATAAAAGCTTCTTGTGAGTGCCAAACTAACAACTGGAAATTTTTTTTCAAATATTGCTATCTTACGAGATTATTGATTCGCGTATATTGCTTTAAAAAATATATTAATTAAACTGTTAAATAAAAACACTTTACTTAGGATGAAATCATTTTTATGTTATACATGGATAATTTTCTGTAATATTTAAATACTTTGGTATTGCTTTAAAAATGTTCGATCTGTATTTCTAAAAACACTATACTATATGGTAGTATATTGCTATTTACATCTGGTCAACAGATTAATTACATTTAAAAAAAATTTTTTAAATCAAGCTAGTATTTAATCTTCATGAAAATATAAAGAATAAGGTATTTTGAATTGTTTACCTTGTAGATCACAGAAAAATATCTTTCTTACGTAAAAAACAATTAGAAATCAAAGGTCATCAGAAGCCGGTGGAAAAATTTAATTTAAACGGAAGTACAATGACAATGCTTCCTACGTAAATGCATTTAAATTACTAAATAAATCGCATAAATAAATATTTAAAAAAGATTTAACATTGCGACTTATTCAAAAACATTTTTAATGAAAACCTCTTGAATATAAAAGCAGTACTTAAGTTAAAATAGTATTATCTCATTCATAATTTTATTTTTGTGTTAATTAGTTGTTATTCTTACTCTTTGAAAATCTGATACGTTTCCAGGATATTACTAATGCAACATTCATCTTATCATCTAATTTAATTCTTATGCGTGCGATACTAACATCTGCAAATATTTTCTCAAGTATTGCTATTTTATGAGATTAATGAATGATTCGTATATTGCTTAATTAAACAGTCATATAAAAAAATTTTACTTGTCAATAAATTCTTTTTAATAGTATACATTATTAATTTTGTGTAATATTTAAAAACTTTGATCCTGCATTAAAAATGTTCGAATAGTATTTCTAAAAAAATTATATGAAATGTGGAAGTATATAGCTATTTACAAGTGTTCAACATATTTATAAGATCTTAAATAAATTTTGATAACAAGCTAGTTTAAAATGTTTTTAAAAATATAAATTGTTAAGTATCTCGAATCGTTTACCGTGTAGATTATACGCAATTATCTTTCCTATAGAAAAAAAAAATTAGAAATCAAAGGCCATCGGAAGCCGGGGGAAAGATTTCTTTTATATAATAATGCATTGCCAATGAAGCGTCATCCATACTAATCGTATTTAACTTGCGGAAGTTAGTGGCTTAATTAACAATTCTAATAAGGTTTATTTGATGATCTATATAAACAGCGGTTTCAATGAATAGCTTTACTTGCTAGACGTATTGGTAGTGTATAGTTCTGCTCGTGTTTATAGACTTAATTAATATGAAATTAAAAGGCTTAGAAGATAGTGCAGTGGTTATCTCTGGAGTATCGGGAAAATTTCCAAAGAGTAACAATATCAATGACTTAAGGGCAAATCTAATGAACGGAGAGGATTGCATATCTGAAGATCATATAAGATGGAAATTAGGTAAGAATTTGTTCTCTGTGTTTTTATATAGAATTAATTTGTAATGATAAGCGTTACTTTTGATTCATTAAATTATTATTTTTTAGATGAATCGTCAAAAGTACCATCGCGTTTAGGAAGAGTTTCTAATATATCTAAATTCGATAACTTTTATTTTGGAATCAATGCAATACAGACACAAATAATTCCTCCAGAAATAAGAATTGCAACGGAAGTTACGTTTGAAGCGGTCATTGATGCTGGAATTAATCCTGTAGAACTAAAAAACACAAAAACCAATGTTTACGGGATATTAAGTTTATTTGAAGCAGAAAGTTATATCATGAACCAGTTGAATCAGGTAAGTAATTATATTGATTTATTAGCTTCCAAGTAAAGGTAAAATTATTCAAAGTGCAATTGTTTTTATTTTTATTATAGTCGTATGGATATATTCTACTTGGGTTATGCCGTGGTTTGCTAGCAAACCGGATCTCGTATTGTATGGGTTTATCTGGCACAAGCTGCAATATCGATTCAACCAACACATCAAGTTCATTAGCAATTCAAAAAGCGTACGAAGCTTTAAAAACTGGAGATTGCGATTACGCGATTGTTAGTGGGGGAATCATAAGCTTACTTCCCAAAACATCTTACCAACTGTATGATCTAGGTAAAATCAAAGTATACTAAGTATAATTAATTGCAGCTCTTGCATGTAAAAACAATAATGCTATTTTTCTTATATTTTTTTTTTTAATGATAATGAAAAGTCTTAGAAGGGCAAGTTGAATTTTTTTGTAATTTATAAATAATTTGTTTTTCTATGCCTTCCATTATTTAGGTTTGTTGTCAACAGACGGGTTAAATAGATCTTTTGATAAGAAAGCGTCTGGATTCTCGAGAAGCGACTCGATAGGAGCAATTTTCCTTCAAAGAGCCGAAAATGCAAAACGAGTTTATGCCGAGGTCGTCAATCTTTGTGTTAAGTACACTGAAGCAATTCCAAGAAACACTTGTCTTTTTCCCACAGCCGAATCTCAGGCTCAAATAATGAAACAGACGTTACAACACTGCGGTCTAAAACCAAGCGACGTAACTTACATCGAGGCCGATGGTACAGCAGTCAAATCAATGGATCTCGAAGAATTAAGGGCAATAGATCTTGTGTACGGACAAGATCGAAGTCTTTCTAATCCTCTTTTAATAGGATCTGTTAAGTCAAACATTGGCAACGCATATCATAACAATGCAATAAATTCGATAATCAAGGTAAATTTTCTGAAAAGACAAAATTGAATGTAAAACAACACAAATTTTGTTTAATATTCTACATGTTTATATTTTTTAAATCTAGGTACTAATTGCTATGGAGACCGGAGTTATACCTCCGAATCTTCATTATTTTGAGCCTCCAGAAGAGGCCCAATGTCTTCTGGATGGACGCGTAAAAGTAATTACAGAACCAACACCTTGGACGGATTGTTACGCTGCTGTTAACACGGCTGCTTTAAACGGTTCCTTCTCTCACATTATCCTAAAACGTCATTCAAAAGAGAAGCAAAGGAGAAAACTTTCCCCATATAATATGCCACGACTTTTTGTAGCTTCTTGTCGAACTCAGGAAATGATATCGTCGATCTTTAATATTGTAAGATATTTATTTTACGACAAAACTGATTAGGTAAAATGATCGTGAATTATATTATTTTTTCATTTAGTTAAAATCGAGCAGAGGAGATGATGAGCTGGCTCAATTAATTACTGATATTACTGAGAAACCATTTCCTCGTTCTTCGTATTCTGGGTATGCAGTAATTCCAGATTCTGAAGCAGCTGATTCAGAGCATTTGATAGAGATTGTTCAAGCTAATTTGTCAGCTAAATCTCGAGAGATCTGGTTCGTTTTTTCGGGGATGGGATCACAATGGATTGGAATGGGTACTACTATTTTTATATTTAAATAAATAAAACAATTTTACATCCTATATAATAAATGTAAAATTCTCTTCTAGGTGAATCGCTAATGAAAATACCAATCTTTGCCAAAGCAATAAAAAAATGTGATGAAGTTTTAAGACCTCGAGGTTACGATATTCTGCATATTATATGCGATAAAAATCCAACAATATACGATAATATTATAAACTGCTTTCTGGGAATAGCAGCAATACAAGTAATAATATATCTAATGTTTCCTCTTCAGCATTGTTTATTTTTTCTTTTTTTTTAAATGAATAATTTCGAATAATTGTTACATAGATCGGTCTGGTGGATACTCTATACGCTGTTGGCGTTAAACCGAATTACATGATCGGGCATTCCGTTGGTGAGCTBGGTTGTTCTTACGCAGATGGTTGCTTTACTGCTGAGGAAATGATTTTAAGCTCTCTTTCTCGTGGTTTGGCTTCAGTAGAAAGTGATTTGATACACGGAACGATGGCTGCAGTTGGTCTTGGCTACAAGCAGATTAAAGATCTTATACCCGAAGACATTGACGTTGCATGTCACAACGGATCAGAAAGCTCTACGATAAGTGGACCTACCGAATCTATAAATTCTTTTTTGAAAGAATTACAGGTAATACTTAGTAGATTTTTTGATATAGACAATTTTACTAATAAATTTTTAAAAATATCATAACTTTTCATTTTTAGAAAAAAGGAATATTTGCTAAAACCGTGCCAACTGGTAACATTGCTTATCATAGTCGGTACATTTCTCCAGCTGGTCCAAAGTTGTTAGAATACCTTAAAAAAGTCATCCCTCAACCAAAATATCGCAGTAAACGTTGGATATGCACGTCTTTTCCGAAAAATGAGTGGCATTTAATGAAAGCTCAACTTTCTTCACCGGAATATCATACGGATAATCTCCTTTCTCCTGTCTTATTCGAAGAAGTATTAACAATGTTACCAAAAGACGCTATAACGATCGAAATTTCACCCCATGGACTTCTACAGGTTTATTTATAAGAAAATATATTTTAATAAAATTTTTTTAAATTAAATACATTTACTAACACTTTTAACTTATTAGGCAATTCTAAAAAAATCATTGGACAGTAGTTGCATTAATTTATCATTAACAAATCGAGGCCATAAGGACAATGCAACTCTTTTTTTATCCACGTTAGGAAAGCTTTATAATCTTGGATTTCAAATTACGCCAGGAAAGCTTTATCAGAGAGTTCCTTATCCTGTTTCTAGAGAAACTGCATCAATTTCTTCTCTTGTCCGATGGGATCACAGTTCTGATTGGTAAGTACAAAATAGACTTTTCTTAAATAGATGTTATATTATATATATTATTGTGTATGTTTGACAGGCACGTGGAAAGCAGTAAATTTCGAGAAACTAAACAAATTGAAGAACTATTAGATTTGAAATCAGATAAAAACAAGTTTTTACGAAATTTTAAATTTAACGGCAATGTTATCATTTCTTCAGCTGTCTATTTAAAGTTGGTTGTGAATATTTACTCGAATTTAATATCGAATAAAACTGATAATTCTTTTATACTCGAGAATATTATTATTCACAATAAATTACTAAAAGTACCTAGAAACGGCAAAATTCATTTAATTATTATGATATTTAAAGGTATAAATAGCAATCTTCTCTCTTTATAAATATAATATTTTTAAAATATATCGTGAAATAATGTACATTTTCAGGTTCAGGAAAATTTGAAGTAAAAACCAATGATGAAATTATGGTAGCTTGTGGAACTATTCGCTTAGCAGAAACAGAGATTGAAGATATACCAGAAATCATTTTACTAAAAGAAGAAACGGAAATTTTAGACGAAAAAAATATTTACTCTAATCTACTTTTACATGGTTACCAGTATGAAGAATCTGACAACATTATTAGCGGACTCTCTACATCGTGTTCTAATGGAACGCTCAAATGGAGCAGAGACTGGGAGTTATTACTAGAAGGATTAGTTCAAGTCCATATTATCAGCAGTAAGAATAAAAATATATTGGTACCGAGTAAGATACAAAAACTCGTCATCGACATGGAACAATTAACTGAAAAAATGAAAGAAAACAATGGTAAGCATTTGAAACCTAATATTTTAACTTACTCGTGGTTATAAAAATACAATAAAGTTTTCAAACTATTCAAAATCTCTTTACCACATAAATAAAAATTTAAATAAATGTGTAGAATCTTAAGAGCATTTTTTAACTAAAAATAAATAAATTTCAATTCTCTTTATTTATAATCAAAGAATAAAAAATTAAAACAAATATTATTTATTAAATTATGCTTTGATAATACATTACTTATGGCTGATTCCTTAACAACAATAATCAGCAGCTAGTTTTTAACGTTTAAGTACTAACATTTACAATCAGGAAATACTACAATAGACAATTAGTTAAATCAAAAAACGACTAGTATGCGAGCAGGCAATACTTATATTTTTATTCGAACGACATTAAAATAGTTTTTACACCTAACATGCTCGTAAATCAAAAATGTTTTGACAAAAAATAACGGAATGTATCATAGTTTAACAGACTATATAATTTATATTAATATTTTTTCGTAGCCTTACCGATGAAGTTTGAAAAGCGGGCAAACCTAATTGCTTGTCCCGGAATTACAATGAGTGGAATCCAATTTAAAGAAATAATATTTCAAAACAGGAGCTTAAAAATTGTTGCGGAGGAACTTCGATTTATCCAGAATATTAATGAAACAACGATGGATATCGACGACGTATTAAACGCAGTAATAGGATTAATTTCAAAAAATATTAGCATCAGCAGTGAAAAAAAGATATTGTTAACGAATGAGTCAAAGAAAAAAAATGAGAATATTTTGGATTTTCTCGAGAATGCTATAAGAAGGACAATGAAAAACTTCCATATAAAATTAATTGCTAGAGAATTACTTTGTCAGATTAATAATGAGAATTATTTTTTGACGATTATATATAACGCGCATTATACCGATGTAAGAAAACTTATTAGTACTCTCGGTACGGATTCATTTTTATTTACAATCATTGAAACAATAGAGGAAGATAATGCGATTTCTGTATTGACAAGTGTGGGATTAAACATCGTCCTGAAAATAAAAACTGCTCTTTGTCGTACAGCTCTTCTTTTAAATAAAGAAAGAAATTTAGGAAAAACTGTTGTCGTTAATAACAACAAAAACAGTTTAGATCGGTTAAAAATCTGCTTACAAGACTCAAAATATGACAATGTTATATTTGTGGCTAACACAATTATCGATAATGATATATTTRAGATACTTCGAGATATAAAAGGAGAGCAGGGGTACAAAAAACTTCAAATTTTTGATCTCCAAGATGCTAAGGCACCGAAATTCTCCTTCCAAAATGAATTCTATGAATCACAAATAAAACTCAATCTTCGTGAAAATGTATTAGCGCCAAACGGAGTATGGGGCACATACAGATGGATGCCATTGCGAGTAAAGTCTACTTCTTCTATGCGTTGGCAAGCAAAGATTAATAAATCAGGATCTTTAGTATGGATGGAAAAATTACCATTGATTAAAGAAAATAATAATAGGATTGTTAGGGTTAAATGTTCTGCATTTGACTTAGGTGTATACGAATACTGGTTAAAAAATGATGTCAGCCTAGAATCACAAATATCTATTACAGAATATTCAGGGATAGATGARAAAGGTCGTAGAGTAATGGGACTAGTTGATAATTTCACTATAAGTAATGAAATTTCAGCAGATCCAGATTTTAGTTGGATTATTCCAGACACTTGGAGCTTCGAAGATGCTTCAACAATTCCCCATGCCTATTTGGCAGCTTTCTGCATTTTGCATTCGGATACTTGGAGGTTTAAACGAATTAAAACTGTATTAATACATTATGGTGCTAGTGACGTAGGACAGGCTCTCATTAATTTATCCTTATCTTATAAGTTTGATGTTTACACTACTTACGAAACGGATGCAGAAAAACGGGTGATAGAGTCGATGCGACCACGCTTACCACAGTCTAATATCATCAAAGTTGAAGATTATAGAATTAATATTATRAATATTACGAAAAGCAAGGGTTTTGATTTTGTAGTTGCAAATTATTCTATTTTAGACGATATGGAAAATTGTTTGAACATTGTTAAAAATTTAAAACATTTAGTAATGATTTACGATTGTAAAAGACCTTATTACAATTCATTACCACTATCTAATTTTATACGGTTCATAAGTGTATACAGCTACTGTTTACAAGATCTTATTAAGTTACCACAAAGAAAAAAGAGAGAATCAGCGGAATTGATGAGAAAAGCTCTACAGGCGGGGACAATAAAACCAATTATATCACGAAGAATTATGATTCAGGGAGCAACAGAAGATAGAAAAATTGAGGCTTGTGAACGTTACGGAAAAGTAATTCAATATATAGAAAGTTTACGAAATAATACGTTCGATTTGTTCACAATTTTAATACGAATGTATTTTTTTACAGGGTTTAGTCAACTTGCAAGAAGAAAAACAATTCTCTAACTTCATTCCTCAACTTTTCTTTCATAGCGACAAATGCTACCTCGTTATCGACGGTTTYAATATCTTTGGAAAAGTACTGATCGAATGGATGATCGAACAAGGAGCTAGAAAATTAATCATTGTTTCTAATATTTCAAATCAAGATAACGAAAACTTGGTCCTTAAATGGCGCGAATATGGAGCAACGATCATTGTTCGACAAGAGGTTGATTTAAGCAAAGCCGCAAGCTTTAACAAAATATTTAAAGAAGCTTTAACTATAGGACAACTCGATGGTATATTTGATTTACAAAGAACGAAGATAGATTCGTCAATTTCTTTGTTAAAGTATTTAATAGTTACTGATATACTCGATAAATATAGCAGAAAGCACTGTCAATCACACGTAAAATTCTTTATTTTCTCCTCGCTCGACTTGGACGAAGATGATTTAAGAGACACTAATGTGGAAAAATTATGCAAAAAAAGAAAAGAATCTTGCCATCATGGGTTATTTGTTTTATTGCCTAATTTCGTAGAAAGTACACTAACAAAGACTAATCTCGATAGTGTATATTACACAAAAATGTCATTGTTTTTAAAACGACTAAATGCTATACTCTGCACAGACTCTTCAATAATCGCTGTTCGCCAATTATTAACAGATAATTCCACAGATGATAACGAGAAAAATATCTTTGCTGGGAAAACCGAAAAGGAGGTAATTCATTCTATTTTTATGTCATTAATTTCATTATCTATTCTTTGTTTCGATTAAATTACACGATAATATTATTATTATAATTATTACTGTAATTACAATGATAATTATTGTATATATTACTATTATTATTATATGTAAACTTTATATTTCAATAATTCTGACTGTGTTTAAATTTATTTAGCAACGAATTTATGAAGGGAATCCACAAGAAGAGGAAATACGGCAGTTCGAACAATATTTTTATAACTACGATTAAAAAATTGTGTAAAATTATACAAGAATTATGTAAAACTCGTTAAGTATACGCTTACCTGCTTTCAATCTATCTTCTCGTTCTTTCCTCTTTATACATAAAAATTTTGTAACTTATTTTGGAACAAGATAATTATGATATATACTTACAAGGAATTAAACGTTAAAAGTGTACTGTAAAGATTAAACGAGAAAAATTACATTGTTTCTCGACGTTTATCGCTCTTTTCGCCTCTTTTTGACTTCAGTTATTCAATTGTTTCACAAAACACATGTTCCAATGTGTGTTTTGTCAAAAAACACAAGAGTCTTCTGCGACTGATTACTCTCAAAATGCAGAAGTGACAATTCAGTCACTCGACATAATGCTATGAAGGAATGTCCTTAACAATTAAATTAAAACTATAAGGTTATTTCATCAATCTCAAGCCTTCTGGAAACTGTAATATTTTACAGTTTTTACATATTTTACAATTTTTAAAAGTCATTTTTTTTATTTGCTACGATCGATATTTTCCTCATCAAATAGTAACGTAATCAAGGAAAGGTTTATTATTAAGACTGAAAAACTAATAAAACAATAACACGGGTGTGTGTATTTATATATGCACGGAAGAAGTTATACTTCTATGACGTAACAAAACATAATACAAAATATTTATATTTTAAAAATTAAAAAGACATTCAGTATATAATGTGAGCATAAAACATAAAAAAAATAAATAGTTTTAATAAAGCAGACAGCAAACATACTTAATATGTAAAATACTCATATTAAAAATATAATTTCAAAAATCGTTAAAAACGCACGTATTCTAAATTCCCCTATCTAAATACGCACTTGTCTTAAATTAAAATTTTTCTTAGGTTATTAACATTTTTCTTAGGTTATTAAAATTTTTCTTAGGATATTAAAATTTTTCTTAGGTTTGGCTATCCGCCTAGTAATGCTAGCTGCTTCCAAGCCCAGACCAAAGAGGAGGATTCGAGGGTAAGACCAACCCTCGGTAAAAAAAAACAAAGCGCTATTAGAAACATTAAAAATGTAACCTCGTATAGGACAGAAAATACTGATAAAAAATGGCAAGAAAGAAAGGCATACGCAAGAAATGGAAAATAAAAACCTTTAGAATAGGATGCTAGAATGTAACTTTCATAGACAATAAAGACCAGGAAGTACTAGAAAAAATAGAAAAATAAAGACTAGATATCTGTGCCCTCCCCAAAACCAAATAAAAAGGCAAGTAAAACCTAAGATATGGAGAGTACATCATG